GATAGGAGGAGTATTTTTCTTCAGGATTACGGAGTCTTGCGCGCAGTGCCGAAATATCATCGGAAACATTTCTAAATACAAGGTACATGGTAACAATCTCGCAAATAACATAAATTTCTGTTATGAAAAATCTCTTGGAAAATTGGGTAAAAAATAAATAAAAAGCTTAAATTTGATTCCTTGATTACTTACTGGACCATAGACTGGCTGAATAAGAATTGAATTGACGTAGAAACTGCGTAATCAATGCTTTTAGCGTGGTACGGTAGTTGTAAAAAACGTCGAAGCTTATAAAGTGTAGTGTTTAGTTTTTTAGTGGGATCCTTTAAAAGAGGCGTGAAGAAGCAACATGCAGGCCGGCAGGGTGAGGATGGCTGGTGTGGCAGGTAGAACTGCTGTATCAGCTATCTTCACGTCTGGACTTCACCTTCACTTAACATCAGGAGGTGGGGTGGAGTCATTTGTCGGACCTATCTAAAAAAAACAAATCGTTAAAGTTCAACGGTTTGCTTTTCAAGTATCTGTTAAACATTATAAAAATATAATTATCTTTCCTCCCACAGTATTTCTTGCGTTATTACAGCTTTCATCCTTCGTCAAATCTTTAAGAGTATTAATAAGGTTAATGAACGAAATGCAATCTGTCCAAGCTTTTTATTCGGACGAACATATTAATAAAAGTGAGTTAAATCTTATCAAGATAGCTGAAGTAATTACGAAGTTTCTTCAAAACAAACGTTATGACACGATAATTTATAATTAAATCTGAGCTCCATAGTGCCCCGCGATGACGTTATGACGAGCCAAGTAAAGCCATTTTTCGACTATTTCGTTACCACAAGAACTATTGTATAACAGAAAAGTATTGAACAATCAATATTGTTTTTATTTGTTTCTTAGGTTTTCACGCACATCACTCATTAAATAAAACTAGTTTTTACGGGTTAATGCACGAAAACTTTATTTATTTATTGACGTTTCGCAGCCTTTTCAGGTCTGCATCGTCAGAATAATGATTTTATTTAAAATTGTCGAGCTACCTTCGAAAGAAGGCTCGAACCTTCTTATTATTGTTTTTACCTTACAACCAAGTGAATGTAGCGATAAGGCCAAGCCACATATTTGGACCAAGTTGTAAAGTTTATAAAGTTAGGCCTTGTAAAGTTAGGACGTGTAGAGTTAACAAGCTTGTCTCTACATGAGCTCTCATAACTTTTTGACAGTGCGAGTTATATGATCCCGTCTTGGCAACATTTTACATGAAAATGTTTTTGGTGGGATTGAAAATTGAGAATATCTTACCTAAGTCTATTGGTACTGTAATACCTGTAGCGTTACGGCCTCCGTGCTTGTGTAAACTCTTTGCTTACGTAATGCCTACGTCTGGCAGGTGTATTAAAAGTAAATGTCATTATTTAAAAGATTCGAATGTAAGAACCTTCTGTCGCACATCGAAAACTCTAGGGAGATTGAATTCAGGCACAGACTCGGTCGGTTGATTATATTATTTAATTGTATTTTATATTTTCCAGAATTCAATCAAATAAACCCACCATTCAAATAACCCTGATCATAAATAAATAAATTAAAAATAAAAATGCGCATCTGAACCCGTGAGTTTTTTTTTTTATTTCTGGCGACATGCTCCGACTTTGCACGAAATTAATTACCGATTAAGAACACGAGATTGTTCAAAGTTCAATGGAAAAACGCCATCCTTTGCATTACCTATAGATTTTCCAAAAAAATCTTATAAACGTTGTTCGGATAAAAATGCTAACAACCACTATGGATTTTCCAAAAAATCTTACAAATTTCGTTCTGACAAATAACCAAAATGAAATAAACCAAATTGATCGTAACATTTAATTAATAATAAAATCAGATATGTCATAAGCGCACACGTTGCGCAGACTCAAAAAAAGGAAGAGATTGCTACCTTAGCAATAAAGCCGCCTTTTGTGTTTTTGTTCCTGTGTTTTATGTTCTCTGTATTGTTGTGTAATAGTGTAATAAAGAATATATTCATTCATTCATTCATAATCGGTCATGCCACCGTGATGTGCAGTTCCGTTTTGTTCAGAAAAAAAAATAGAAAATAATATTTTTTCTTAGCTCCGCTTTTTAATAACCGACATTCTTTGCCACGTAGCTCACATTTGCCATAATTAAGCCGAGTTATTATAAAACATTCACATCATTATTTTAATTAGAACTAAACCCGCGTAGTCAACCCACAAGCTATAAAATTTTGCATTTCGGAGACCTCATGCTACACTAGCGCCTCTAGCGGCGGATTCATACGCGATAGCCCTCATTGGGGCGTTGGAACAGGTTGGAAAACCTTTGAAGTTGGAACAGGTTTTAAAGGCAATCACTATGAACGTAATAGCTCAATTACATTTGGTCGCTAGCCCGTATTCGTTACACGACGAATACTGGACAAAACTCACGGACTGCAGGCAAGCTAGGGAAGCCGTTCCCAAGGTAAACCTGCAGCTAACCAGACTTCCTAGACAAGCCCTAAAACAAAACGTGGTGGTGACAAGCCCTAAGACAAGCCCTAAAAAAAATACTCACGGGTCACGGCTACTTCAACAAACACCTTTGTAGTATAGGTATTTGTGACAGCCCTCTGTGCAGAGCCTGCCTGGAGGACGAGGAGACGAGCGCCCATGTGCTGCTGGCGTGCAGGGGCGTTGCAAGACAAAGGACTTCTCTGATGGGAAGCCCGAAGACAATAGTAGAGGCCTGCAGTAACATTCGAGGTCTGCTGAGCTTTCTGGTGGAGCTGGGATGGCAGGACTGATGCCAATCCCTACGCAAACTAGGCACTGGGTGTCGAGTTGCGGAAACAGCCCACCGTACTACTAAGACTAAGACTAGCCCGTATGCGAATGCATAAAATATATTACTCGAATTCGGGCACTCGAAGCAATATTTACATTGCAATACTGGCTGGAAGACGGTGTCTGGTAAGTGGTAACCAAAACGAAAACTACCCGCACACGGGCGTACTCGACTCCGTCCATTTACACTTAGTCATTCAAGTATACGAATTCCGTTCGCACTCGTATTCGCGCTAACGACCAAGTTGTTATGTTCTTACAATTAATAACTGAACTGATATTAATTAATGCATTAATATTTTATTCATTATAAAAAAACATGGTTTTACAATCTCATGTGCACAGTCTGCAGTCATGACAGTTTGACACCGCGCCAATATCGTTATGTCATGATGATAGTAGTTAGCCGTTCCGAACCACGCACTAAACCCACAACACAAGTGTAATCGCGGCATAACATATCTACAGAAATAATATATACTCCTTCATTTAAGACAACAACTTATGAAATCTAAAGAAAAGTTTACTAGAAAAAAATCCACGCGGACCAGGCAGCGGACGGGACTCGAACCCGCATCCTTCGCAATCCGGGCGAATGCACTGACCATTATGCTACCACGGCCCTATTCGCCGCGTCGAAATTTTCCTAGCCTTAAGCTGCAAGGCAGCGCCATCTCTTCGCATTGTAGGTAACCCACAATGTCAAATGAATACTTTTTCAAGTATTAAACATTTGAAAGAAGAAATAGCAATTATAGTTATGTTTTATTTATTTGGATTGGATTTTTTTCTAGTAAACTTTTCTTTAGATTTAAACATCTAGCAGTTAAATGCTTAAAAAAAACATAACTTATGAAATTCTTATTGATAAAGTTGACTCACCTCTTTCTCCTTGGCGTAGTAGAGTGTGCGGCCGCGCAGCCTGAAGTAGCGCCGCTGCCAGCGCTGGAAGCTGCGCGTCTGCTTCATCAGGTACCCCTCCTTGACCACGGGCTGGAACCAAAGAAAATAATAAATCATCATCATCATCAGCCTATTAATGTCCCCACTGCTGGGGCACAGGCCTTCCCTATGGATGGAATAGGGAGATTGGGCCATGACCCACCACGCGGGCCCAGTGCGGATTGATGGGTGCTAACGACTGCCGATGCAGCCGGGACCAACGGCTTAACGTGCCTTCCGAAGCACGGAGGAGCTCGAGATAGTAAATTTTTGGTCACCCATCCAATGACCGACCACTGCGAAAGTTGCTTAACTTCAACGATCGCAGCCGAACGCACTAGCCACCTGCGCCATCGAGCTCCTCAAATAATAATAATAAATAATTAATAATAAATATTTCCAACACACACCAATAGGGATGATGACTAATTTTTTTTTCTTCGTTTATCAGGTAGATTATCAAAAAGTATTGGACACGTATTTTTTCTTTTTTCACATAATATAAACATTGCAGAGGTATATTGATTTGAAAAGTCGCATGACGTCACGTTTGAGTACACTTATAAGGGAAAATTCACTCAAAAGTGACGTCACGAGCCCCTACTCCCAAACTTTGACGCGCTATAACTTTGTCATTTTTTGGTTGATTGCCCAAATAAAAAATACTTGTCCATTATTTTTTGATCATCTAACTGACGGACTAAATAGAATTTCGTTTACTGTACCCCGTCATCACCCCTATTAGCCTAGCCCCAAAGTAAGCACTGTAGGGTATTTCCGCCAATCGCCCAAAAACTTGTAACACTGTCATAAAGTCTATATTATTAAAAAAAAAAAGATTTCCACAATATATGTTCTTTTTCAAATGATACCTTACCTTGTCTGTGAATTTTGTTAGCCTTTAGTATTAGTATTTGAGCAAAAAGAACAATGGTTCTAATTAGGGTTAAAATTACAATGTAACATACGCTATTTTCAAAGTTTCTGATGGAATAAACACATGAAACAAGTACAAAGTATACTTAATAATTACTTTTTAAATTAAGAATTTAACACTTATTAATAAACAATTGAAGGTTACGTAATTATTAATGTAATAAACTGTTATTTAACTTGTAACACGTTCATACGTGAAGAAATGTCCTTACCGAATTAGCGATTTTATATCTCTCTATCTAACCTAAACAGCAACGTTGCCGCTCCGTAAACTGTTTAAGTTGTCAGTGAGGCCGCCAGTCAACCGACGAGAGTCGTATGAGCAGGTTGTGATTAGAGTTACGAGAGGCACGAGTGTTCCGCGACGAAAAATCAAAAAGTGTCCTTTCCGTGTAACAGTTAGATAAGTTGGTAAGTAATTATAATATTACTTTGATTTTTGCTTAAACATATACATAATTACTTTATTCATTGAATCATCGCAAGTTAAATGCTATAATAAGATAGGAATTAACCGATTTTTAACAAAGTATTAGAAATTTCCTTACCGTGACGTTCCTTACCGGGTCTAAAGAGAGACCACGGTAAAGACACCTTAGATACGGTAATGACTACTTTATTAATTACTACTGCACTAACTTCAATCTTGACATTTATCATCCAAATTATAGCTAGGCAAAGCACTTACATATTGTGTTGTAGTCAAATAAGTGTGTAGATGTTTATTGAATTAGCATTGAGTAGAGATCGTCTAATCTAAAACTGAAAGCACATGCAATGTTAACGTATAAAGAGAATTAGGTATTTGTGAGATTCATGTGAGTGAACTACATTATTACTTGTATGCGTTTGCGTTCTGAAACTTTATTGTGAAATTGTAGTCATACATACATATAATAGGCATAGAGTATAGACTAAAAATCAAGAAACGGTTTAGTGTAGGTCATGGTTTCTGTTCTAGATTAGACAATCTTTGGAATGTGGTTGGTTTGCTTTTTGTATTATTTATTAAACGGGTATAATTATGTCGAAATATTGTATTGATTAGGATAACGTATTTTTTTCAGATAGCAAAAATCATCAAATAATGCCAAATACTAAAACAGCAGAAGCTAAAGAAAGGAAAAGAATAAATAAAAAGAAAAGGTATGAATATATTAAACTTAATGATCCTGAAAAGTATGCTAGTCTATTAGAAAAAGAAAGACAACGATACAGAAAAGAAGGCAGCAAAAGAAACTCAAAAGTATAGTAGATATGACTGAAAGAGAAAAAGAATCACTAGAAGAAAATGGAAGATTAATAAAAGTAATGCCAGAAATACTAAAAAAAACTCTGCACTGCATGAAGTAAATTTGAACGAAACAGCTAATATCATAAATACAGATACCGATAACCAACTTAAACTAGATCCCCTAGCACAATCGAACGAGCATCTTGATCTACCTAATCGCGAGTGTAGACTGAAAAGGTTGGTAGCGCATTTGCAGACAAAATTAAAACTATTCAAAGAAGTTATTCAAAAACTAAAGAAAAAAAATAATGCGTACAGGGTGATGGTACATAGGATAAAAAAACACAAGAAATCAAGTAAAACTTCGAAGGAACATAATAAATTGCTCATTAAAGATATTATTAAAAAAATACAAACTTTTTACGAGGAAGATACAAACAGTAAACAAGGAGCAGGAAAAAAAGAGTTTATAACTCGCCATAAGATAAAGAAGCAAAAAAGATATTTAGTTATGAGTCTGAAGAACCTATATAACAAATTTATTACAACTAACGCCATAAAAGTAAGTTATTCTACATTTTGCAAATACAGACCGTTTTGGGTTGTTTTTCCGAAAAGTAGCGACCGAGACACATGTGCATGTCAGGTTCATGTTAATATGAATCTATTAATTGTTGCTCTGCACAAAGCAAAAATTATAAATGAAACTAGTCACTACGATCTAATAAATTCAATTTGTTGTTTACCGAAGACTGAAAATTGTTTATTGAGAAATTGTAATGATTGCAAGTACAAATGTGTATTATATAAAGAGTTTAATAATGAAAATTTGATAAAATTTAGTTATTGGTGTACAACAATAGAATCAAGAGAAAATTGTAAAGTAAAAAGAATAACAACGAAAAAAAATGAAATTGCGAAGCCATTAGAGTTAATAAAAAAATTAGATCAGAACTTAAACGGATTCTTAAAGCATACTTTTACTATAGAAAAACAATATATAGAACTAAAATCCCTAAAAGAATCATTGGATATTAATGAAGCTGTAATACACATGGACTGGTCAGAAAACTATGATCTTAAATATCACGAGGAAGTCCAATCCATGCACTTCGGAGGTAGCAGGCGCCAGGTGTCCTTGCATACTTCTGTATTATATTTACATGAGTAAAACGACAAAGGAAAAAAGACAACTCAAGCTTTTTGTACCATTAGTCCAAATCTTAGGCATGATGCTGCAGCTATTTGGGCGCATTTAAAGCCAATTTTAGAATATATTTACAGAACTAATTCTAATGTCGATTCAATTTATATTTTAACCGACTCTCCAAGCAGCCAATATCGGAATAAGAACATGTTTTGGATAATATCACAAATTCATAAAGATTTCCCAGGATATTTAAATACATTGACATGGAACTATAGTGAGTCTGGTCATGGAAAGGGGGCTGCAGATGGGGTTGGAGCCGTGATCAAAAGAACTGCTGATGGTCTCGTCAACCTTGGTCAGGATATTTGTAACTTTGATGTTTTCTACAACAATTTGAAACATCATGTAAAAAACATTAAAATTGAAGTTGTAGACGAAATGAAAATTATCGAAAAATCCAATAAATTACCAAAACAACTACCAGCTTTTAAAGGCACTTTTAATGTACACCAAGTTCTGTGGGATATATTTTGCGGTTCGGATTTGACGCTAAGAAAATTTAGTTGTTTTAAATGTAGAGCAGGTTTTAATTGCGAGCATGGAGCACACTTGGGATTCTTCACTGTTCCTGATGTCGTATCGGAGCCCATTGCCGCCGTTACCCTATTGAATGCAGCAAGAAATATGGGTGATAATATTGCATTCCGCGAATCGTTTAACATTATTGCAAACGATATTCCATCACATGAACCATCTACATCGAAAAAAGGAATACCTACCGATTTCGATTTTGAAGACGTAGTTCCTGCTAGCACTAGCAATGTTTCAATGACGTTATCTAAGGGCAAAGAAAACACATCCCTACTCCCGAGTAGTAGTAATGCAAATATTTCTACTATTAATTTGAATTTACAAGTAGCTGATTGGATTTTAATAAAAAAATCAGAGAGAGCCAAAAAGCATCAAATCGCTCGTATAATTGGAATTTATGGGGATAACATAACCATCTCGATTTTAAAAAAAGTCTCAGGAGGATTTAGATGGCCAAAGTCTAGAAATAGAGATGTGATATCTGCTAAATGCATCAAAGCAATTTTAACAGAACCTAATATTGATAAAAACCTAAATTTTAATTTCGAAAATATTAGTAACTTATGTTTTTAGACAACATTTTTAAAGTGTTTTTGATTTATTTAGATTATTTACAACTATTTCCTGTGTCTAATGTGTAATTTTTAAAGTTGATTTAAATACATGTGATAACTTACACTTGAATATTGATTATTTTGTCGGGCAACATTAACGTTGTAAACGAGATAAATAATTATTTTTTGGTGCTGATTGTAGTACATACATTTAATGTCACGAGTTTTTTTTCCTATGAGTAGGTAGTTAGGTAACTAAATATTTTAAATCATAATGCGATTCAACTAAGAATAGGAACGGAACGACTGGGCGCCATTTTGTGATGTCATAGCTGTCAGTTGAAACAAAATAGGTAGAGTGAGCAAAAAAAGTTTTTCTTCGATAAAACTTATTTACTAAGATTAAGTGAGAAAAAACATCAGTTTTTTTTTAAATAAAACTCATTTACTAAGATTGAGAAAAAACAAACAACCGATTTTTATATCATTTATTTATTAAGGGGCTGTTCAAGTATTACGTAAGCACTATAGGGGGGCTTTGCTTATTTTTGATGACATGGGGGGTGGGAGGTAGAGATGGTGATTACGTCAGCATCGTCGATTAAGCCTTTTTAAGTACTGCTGCTCATGAAGCTCATGAATCAATAAAAAAAACAGAATACATTAAAGGAAATATGCATATAGGTACCAATGTTTACGTAAGGATGGGGGGGAGGGGTAAGAGCTTTGCTTACTTTTGCTGACGAGGGGGAGGACGGGGTAAATAATTGTAATAAATCTGCTTACGTAATACTTGAACGGCCCCTAAGACTGTGCGAGTAAAAATATTAATCGGAAATTAGCTCTTCAATTCCGCTCAGCTCTACATAACTACCAGAGTTGTCTTCGTCGTCATGTTTATTTATAAATGTTTGGTTTTTTATTTTAGAATTAGCTGAGTGCTCAAAAAGAGTTCCAAGATTTTTTGCAAACCGTACTTTTCAAGCGTCATTCGACAGATGAAGGGCATTAGCTTTCCTATTCTTATTTGAATCGCATTATACAATAACGTTAATAATTGTAATCGAGATAGTTTATTATTTTTTGTTAACTGATTGTAGTACATTTTAATGTCACAAGTTTTATTTTTCCTGGTTGATTTTTTTCCTATGAGTAGGTAGTTAGGTAAGATCATAAATATTTTATATTTTCTTTTTCATAAGACTGATTGTTAAATTGAAGAGACTGATTTGTTTATTGAAGTAAGTTAAGCTTTGAAGATAAACATGATTAAAAATAAATTTAAAATAAGAAACGGCTTTTTATTTTTAATTACGGTATACTTAAATAGTTATTTATTTAATCATTACCTACCAGTAAATAAATATTTTCGTCATTCTTATTCCTAGTCTTTACCGTCATTGTTTGTCCTTACCGTACACTTAAAATTTTACACAAATAATAGAGTTATAAAAAAAATTGACACAAATAACAAATACTGTATTTCTATTATCTAGGGTCAGAATATAAAAATACTTAAATGTAATGAATTTAAATTAATGAGTCATTATCGGGGTGATTTAGTCTTTACCGTTTTTTTAATGATAAACCACTAAGTATGTATTAAATGTAAATAATGTAAACATGCACTACAGCGTAACTTATGGTCATGGAATTAAATTTATTTAATCTTAATTATCATTCTTGTACTTTATTTTCATTCCGTCAAAAAGTGTGAATTGGCGGAAATACCCTGTAAGGCTTGTGTTATAGGATACTAGGATAACGGATAGAATACATATACTGCACATATATAAGTGTATTTATATAGAACTACATATTAAACATCCATGACTGGAGTACAAATGCTCGTATTCATCACACAAACATCTGCCCCCACCGGGATTCGAACCCAGGACCCCTCGAGAGGTCGGCGACACCATGAAACCCGGCGTACAAACCACTCGGCCACGGAGGTCGTCAATAAACTTTAAATATATAAATTTTTGACATTGTGGGTTACCTACAATGCGAAGAGATGGCGCTGCCTTGCAGCTTAAGGCTAGGAAAATTTCGACGCGGCCATCAGGGCCGTGGCAGCATAATTGGTCAGTGCATTCGCCCGGATTGCGAAGGGTGCGGGTTCGAGTCCCGTCCGCTGCTTGATCCGCGTGGATTTTTTTCTAGTAAAACTTTTCTTTAGTTTTAAACATCTAGCAGTTAAATGCAAAAAAAAACAACTAGATATGGTAAATATCTTGAGATATAGTAGACGCAATCGTAATAAAATTATATTACAAATTTGGTAATAACAGACTGTAGTGTTGCTATTATCACCAGCCTATTAATGTCCACACTGCTGGGCCACATGTCTTCTAATAGGAAAAGGGAGACCGGACCGCGACCCACTACCCGGGCCAAATGTGGATGGGTGGGTGCTAACGACTGCAAGAAAACACGTTAAGGGATGAAAAGTATTATATTCCGAATTAAGTACGATACTTAAAAAATTAAAATTATATTTATATTAATAAATAAAAAATATTTTATTGAAAACCAAGCTTTTATTGCTTATTAAGAAGAAGAACTAAAAAGTTAACAAATATTTAAGTCTGACAAAAATATACCATTTTATGGTACGTTATATCTCATTTTTATTAACTAAAGTGTGATGCATTTCGTCGACAAGAGAAAAGAAAAATATCCCAAAATGATATATTTTTAATATATAATTAAAAAAACTGATATTACAATACATTTCACAAGTGTCAAGAATAAAAAAAATATTAAAAATTTTATGATTACCTTTATCTGGAATCCTATGCACGTCAGAGCTGCGTCTAATATATTGTGTTGAAATATATATACATTTATATATCTCTAAAAATCCCTATCTTTAATATACCGCTTAGAATTTACAATATTTCTGATTTATACAGAACAAAACAGAACAAAATTTCACATTCGATCTCTTGATTTATAAAAAATACCAATACCATTCGGAACACAGTAGAGTTTAAAATTGAAAATATAATGGAACGCCATTTCACCGAAACATAAAGCACACAGTACGGACAAACACCAAACACATGGGAAATATTATATCACTTCTTTTTGTTCGTAACGTCCAAGCAATAACCGTTACGGGACGGCAGCCTGATTGCTACGGTGCTACGAATGAATGCTACGAGTACTACGAGCTACTACGAACTATAGATCGTCGTAGCACTTTGCAGTAATTGTACTGTAGTAATTAATTTGTGACTGTCCATTCCGTGTGTTGCTGAACTGAAACATATTATAATTCCGGTCAAGGCCATCATGGCCGTGGTCGCATAATTGGTCAGTGCATTCGCCCGGATTGCGAAGGGTGCGGGTTCGAGTCCCGTCCGCTGCCTGGCCCGCGTGGTTTTTTTTCTAGTAAAACTTTTCTTTAGATTGAAACATCTAGCAGTTAAATGCTTAAAAAAATACCAAATTATTATAATTGTTGAAAATCGTTTTTTTTCGTATTTTTTCGATGTGAAACTTCTTTAGGCACGCTTGACTTGGGGAGTAAACTGGCGAATGCGTTACGAGTTACGCCTTACGATAAGTGTCAGCGGTGACTCATCGGTAAACAATGAACAATACTCGTCACAAAATACATGAATCTAGTGCTAACTTACATGTTTACTTGATGTTAACTATTGAAAAAAGGTTTTTTAATTAATTACACGACGTAATTTATCAATAATCAATAACAATTTAGAATTTTACTATTAATTCTACGCCACTGAAATCCGTCATATGTGTATTTTTTTCTATCAACATATCTTCAGGTTAAGTTTGGGAAATTTAAAATTAGGAAACTTGATGTTTTTGTTTATCAACGAAAACATAAAATTTTAAAAATAT